TTCTGCATTAAGTTGAATCCTTGACTTGGCAGAGTATCCATAACTTATATATGAGCATGTGGTTCATTACCTATGGTCTGAGGAACTTCAAGGTAAGTAGAATTTTCAGGCTAAGTGGCCAACTAAGCACATAACAGTGTATGCTAATGTCTACCATGGCAGACCAGAGCAGTATGTGGCAAAGATTCAATGCAAGGTGAGTCTTTTCTTCATGCCTGCGCATGAAGAAAAACCTCTCCCTTTTCATTCCTTTGGGGTGGAAGCAGCTATGACTAGCAATAAACAAAGGGAGTTTCTATTTAGTGGCATCCTGAGCATTTTCATCATAGGAATGCCTTTCTTTGCTTTCCTAGTTTTTTTGTTGTTGTTGTGGCTTTTCTTCTTCTTGGTCTCTTTTAACACTCTGTCTTTATGATCTCTCCTCTCTCAAGCTCTCTCTACTTTGTTCACTTTCTGGACTCATTTCCTTTTGTTATTCTTACCTTCATTAACTTTTTTCTAAGACAGAGGAGACGGGAGGGAAAAACAGAGGGAGAGAAACATTAGCGTGAGACAGAAAGATCAACTGATTGCCTCTAGAATGCACTCCAACTGACCTGGGACGGAACCCGCAACCTAGGCACGTGCCCTGATCAGGAATCCAACTGGCGGCCTTTCGGTTTGTGGGATGATGCCCAACCAAGTGAGCCATACCGGTCAGGGCATCTTCATTAATTTTTAAATATTACTTCTGTCAAAGCTCCTCTTCTAGGCTTCTTCTTGCACAAACATTGGTTATACAGAGCATCCTGTCTTTTGGTACATTCTTAAGAACCAATTTGAATTCATGGACACTTAAACATCTGACTCCACCAAGAATTTCCCAGTGATTTTTCTTCTGGTCTTTTTCCTATTTATGGGGGACAAGGTGAGAAAATATAAATGGTTTCCCTGAGAAACCAGGTTTCAGTATCCTTGAAACTTAATATGCAGCACTGTAATCAGTGGTGAGATCCCTGTGAAATAATACTCTGGCCCTGGCAAAGGTACTGTGCTTGGAAAGCATACAATCAAAATTCAAACTGGCCTGGGAAACCGTCGAGGTAAGTAATTTAGTAATGAGAAAAAGATCACTATTTGAAACATAACACAGTCTTCTCACTAGCAAAGTCAAACAATGAAACAAACCTTTCTTTCTCTAGTAGGTCTATTATTCTTACTGATATGTGCTGTTATGTGCCTGAAACTGGTCAGAACCAAGCTAGAAGAGACATATCCAAAGAGATTCCTAGAGACTCTCATTTTTATTTGCTTCCCAGAACCTCCTGACTGAAGTATAAAAGGCCCTTTCCTAAGGGGATGTCCCCGAAAGGATCAACCACGGTTTATGTTATTTGGAGGCATAGGGATAGTCCCTTGAATTCTAGCAAAATCCAGCCAGGGATCCCTGAATTTTACCTATTTTTAAAAAATGCTCCAGTACTGAGAGGAAAATCAACTTCCTAAAGTTATAACCTTCTTAATTAAAGCAAAGCCAAAGATGATTTTGGCTTTCAAATGGGACATCTGTGTCATATAGGGGGCTTCCTTTGCTATCACTCCAACAGCCAGTTACTTCCCAGAATGGTGAAAAAAGCCTTCAGATGTTTAAGCTGGAATAAAAAACAATCACTAAGACTCTGGCTTTAACAACACGCTGAAACGTGACACCTGTAACCCTGAATCTTATTTATTTATTTTTAATCCTGACCTGAAGATATGTTTTTATTAATTTTAAAGAGGAAGAGGAACTGAGAGAGAGGGAGAAAGAGAGAGATTGGTGCTTCCTGTACACACCCTGAGTGGGTATTGAACTCGCAACCTAGGCGTATGTCTTGACTGGGAATCGTACACACAAACTTGTGGTGTATGGGATGACCCTTCGACCATCTGAGCCACTAGGCCAGGGCAGAAAGTAACACTAAACTTTAAAGAAAGATAAATAATTGTTAACAATGTAATAGTAAGCAAAATACACTTAGAGCACTATGGTTTTTAAAATGAGTTGGCATATATTTTACTTATTTCATAGTCTCTTTAAGGCCCATGGAGCAACCATTACCCTTCTTTGAAAGATGCAAAGCACCTTGCACAAAGCTGTAAAGCTTAAATAAATAATTTCATTCTTTAATAAAATCTAATCTCTCTACCTATTCAAGCTACTCCCCTAATCTCTGCTTTCATAAATCATCAGATTTCCTGAAAGAGTAATCTATTCTTGGTGACTTTATTTAATCTATTATCCATTTTCTAATTTGGGCAGACTACAGTTTGTTTCTTTAAATATCTACTATTCTCAAAGAGATCACCAATGGTCATTGGTCAGTGGTCATACAAGGTATCATGGGACTCAGTAATCTCGAATATTCTTTGAATGATTGAAATTTTCAGCAATTCCATGGACTTATTTTTGATCCTCATTCTTGATTCCAACTCCCCTCTGAAACACTCCTCATTTTTCATGCCTTCGCTTTCCTTCCCTGTTACTCTCCAGTATCTGAAAGTTAAACTGCTCAACACCTACTCATCTTTCAAGATCCCATTCAAATGACATTTCTGGTATCTTCCACAATGCCTCCAGCAGTAGTCACTCTTTTTTTCCCTTCAAAGATTTTATTTATTTATTTTCAGAGAGAGGGGAATGAAGGGAGAGAGGGAGAGAAACATTGATGTGCAAGAGATACATCAATTGGCTGCCTCTCACACTCCATCAACTGAGGACCTGATCTGCAACCCAGGCGTGAGCCCTGACTGGGGATCGACACACTGGCACTCAATATACTGAACCACACCACCTGGGTCAGCAGTCACTCTTTCTCTGAAGTTCCATAGTACTTTATACTACTGGGCACTTATCACATTTTATTCTGATTGTTAATTTCTCTTTCTCTCTCCCTTATTATACAAGTTATTTGAATATAAAAACTGGTTTATCATTCTGCATCTCGTGTTTAGCAGATTACCTGGCACTTGTGGACCCTGAAAACAAATGTGTGAATAAACCACCAGCAAAGTGGTAGCACTATAGCCAGAGCCACCCAGAGGATGGCTCAAAGCAAAGGCTTACAAGTTAAATTTGTCACCTCTTATTCCATGAAAATTGTCAGGTCAGATCCTCAGATTTAGTCCCTTTGTAAAAATCTTTCATTTAGCAGCAAACTGTCCACAAACCATCATTTCCAAACAGACTGTCAGCCAGATAGCAGTGCCATACACGGTATAGTTATGACTCTCCTGTGATTTGCCCATCTACTTTTTTTTCTCCACTATGTGAGGACAAAGGGAGAAGGTGGCCGTCTGTAAGCCAGGAACTGAGCCCCTGCTGAAAACCAAATCAACTAGCACCTTGCTCTTGGACTTTCCAGCTTCCAGACTTTTTGAGAAATAAATGTCTGTTGTTTAAGCCATACAGTGCATGGCATTTTGTTTTAACAGCTCTAGCTGACTAATACATGCTGTTTAAATACTTCCTGGAAAAATTTCTTTTTTTTAGGTAACTCTAATTGTTAGAAACAATTGTTTCCAACAATTGTTTTTAGGTAACTCTAATTGTTAAGCCTTATCTGAGGCTTAATTTTATCCCCATATCTGAAAATGGAGGGAAAACCATGAAAATAGAGGATATGAACACAAAGGAGAAGAGAATAATTTTCAAGGAAAAAAATAGACCTGTGATTTAACACTGAGGAAAAATTTTAAACTCAAATGCAATAACACAGTCCTGGCTGGTGTGGCTCAGTGGATTGAGTGCCGGCCCGTGAACTGAAGGGTGGCCAGTTCGATTCCTAGTCAGGGCACATGCCTGGGTTGTCAGCTAGGTGCCCAGCTGGGGGTGTGTAAGCAGCAACTGATTGCTGTCTTTCTCTCACATTTATGTTTCTCTCCCTCTGTTTCTCCCTCTCTTCCCTTCCTTCTAAATATAAAAAATATAATCTTTTAAAAAAGTATCTAACAGTGGTATAAAAAAATGGAAATAGCTTGCTTTAATTGCCCCAAATCACAGGAAATGTTTTGCCTATTTTAGGTGTAGTACGTATCTCAACAGAAATACCTGTTGCAAAGAATCCTTATTAACCAAGTAAGGTTGTCACCAAATCAAAGAACTGCAGTGTTGGAAAAGGACTGGAGTTCTCTGAAGGCCATCCACACTACTGCCTTATCTGATGCATACACACTTTCCCTCTGCAATACTCTTGAAACAGGCATACATATGTTGCTTAAAATACTTTCTGGAAAATGTAGGTTTACTGCAGGTAACTCTAATTGTTCGAAATTGGGCTACATAAACTCTGTCCCCTGTAACTTGTATTTCTCTGACAGCTACACATTTAATTCTTCTTCTTTAGACTTTTTAAAAACTTTAGAACATTCATGTCCCTTGCTCGGTTCTTCTTCCTCTTTAGGTTAAAACTTCTCAGTTGTCCAATTATTGAATGTATCGCACATTTCAAGTCCCTTTCCTCTGGACCAGTGCCACTTAGCTGGACACTAAACAAGTTTCTCATGTGTGTTCTTACATTGGGACTATCACCTTCTTTGCCATAAACAGCATGCTTCTTTAGTCCAATCCACGGAGATCTTTATGGCCAATGGACTGTAGAAAAAAATATATATGCTTTTCCTCTCAGCTTCAAAATTGCCAGCAGGTCAAAAACAAAAGAATGCTACTCTTAAAATCTTGACAATTTGAGTTTTAAGCATTCAAGCAATGGTTGGAACAGTCAGATTACCAGATAAGATGGCCGTTAAAATACCTTCCAATGATGCTAAAGCCCAGGAATAGAGACAAATCTATACATTCCAAAGTCAAGTCTTTCTCTGCTGTGGGGATTTGTGAATGCAGACTAATGGCAAAAGAGGACTGTGAGGCGAAAGTGAGGTCAAGACTAATAATAACCTGGAGCTGCCAAACCTCAGCACCGTTGCTAGCTCTTTATCAAATACAGTGACGATATAACCAGAATTTTCCATGAGAGTCTTACCATGTTCTGTTCCGTATCTCCAGAAGTTACTATAATGTTTCACCATAAACCAGATACGCAATCCTGGAAAGAAATTTAGAAGGTCTGAAGAAGACTATAATCATCTAATTATATTCTAAATTCCTCCCCAAAATGCGAAAGCAGGAATGCCTGTTTAAAAATCCTAAATAACACGATTGATAGGACATTATATTCACTTAATCCATTCAGGGTAACAGTAACAACTTCTCAGAAATCATGCATAAGTGTCCTGGAAAACAAATTACCCATCACAATTTGCATGAAGTTGTGACTGGGCAAGCTGTGACCAACAGTGTTCACTGGCTATATAGATGGTATGTTTTGGTTGCTTCCCCAGAACTTGGGTTGATAGACAAAAACTGTATTTTAGGAAATCATAAACCTCAAGCTCATTTATAACACTCAGCCAAGGCATCTATTAGGCATTATTGACATTCAAGAAAAGTTCAACAGTCTGCTATTCTTAATAAGGAAATTCAAGTGAATAGAAGATGTAAAGCCAACTCTTTTTGAGTGGAAAAAAAGTCAAAGGTCAAGGTCCTGTGACAAAGAGACTATTGGGGACCCAGGGTCAAACTATGGAGAGAAATGCAAGAACACAAGTGAAAGGTGCTTTCAGAAACCTTCTGAGCCAAACTACTTCTCCGTCGGCCACACATTAAAATGTGATTAATTCCTAGAAAACAAGATAAACACTAGGTACACATCAATGCTTATTAACTGAATCATTTCTTTAAAGAAATATTAGTTTTTCTCATTAAGAAAATAATAACATGAAGACACTGGTTATACCTCAGAAAAATAAGTGGCTTTATAATAACATTACCTCCACTGTTATTATTAATATTAATAAAACAAATAATAATAGCAGTTAACATTTATTGCTTACTGTGTGCCAGACACTGTACTAAGCATTTTATATGCAGTCTCATTTAATCCTCACGACAACCCTCTGAGGGAATGATATGGATACTGAGTTTCACAATGTGAGTGCTCTGCCCAGGGTCACGACAGCCCTATGAGATAGTGCTGTTTTCACCCCCGTGTACAGATGAGGAAACTGAGGCAGCAGTCAAAGAGGCTGCTCAGGGACACAAAACCAGGAGTGCAGGGCTGGGAATCCACTCGGGCAGTGTAGCTCTACTCTCCAGGATGGCTCTTGACCACTGCGCTCTATTACCTCCCCAGGGACCCCGGGGTCCAGGGAAATACACACTAGAGTAAGATATCATTTGTTGTCCAAACTGGCCAAAATAAAAAGACCAACATGGTCAATGTGGGAAAGGGGTACTGTCAGCACTGTTGGTAGGAGAACATAATGGCAAAAATTTTTTTGTGGTAAAAACAATTCTTACAGAAACAGATACCCTAAAAGAAAGTTTAGAAAATAATTTATCCAATAAAAGGTGGATTACAGTTTCTTAACAAAACATTACTTTTATGTTCCTGAAGGTAGTAGCAACTCCCGGAACTCCTTTCCTTTTCTCTGTTAATTCTCAGATGGCAATAAAGGCTACCAGAAGATGAGCATTCCACTGCTCCCATGCTAACTTTTAAATGTGTGACTGCTCCCTCTGTGATTTAATCAGCCCAGATCAAACTTTCCCTGAGAGTGTTTCTTGGCCCACTAACATCACCACTGACTTGGTTAACTCATCTTCCCTTCCAGTGAGCTGACGGAAGTTCTGCTTTCCACGTTTGTCTCTTAGTCTCTTTCTCAACAGGTTTAAGAACCAAGACTGAAGGTGAAAAGCTCGAACTTTCCCTTTCCGTTATGTTCAAAAGCCATTAAAAAGACTCCTCGTTTCCAGCAACATGCTAATTCCAATCTGACAAAAATGTTGCTTCTGAAACCTCATAATTCTCCGTAGTCTCTGGTTTACCGTCTACACTATACAGGTTAAGTAACAATATAAATTACTTAAGGAAAAAAAACCCAACTCCACGTCACAGCTTTTCTAACACTTCAGCCATTCTATTCTACTTACAGGTGCCATTATGAAGACAAACACGGAAAGTGCATGGAGCCGTAACGGAGGCTGTTGCTAAACTCCACTACCTAAAAATACTACAGTGTATCACAAATGGTAGTACGTAAAGGTGATGATGCTTCCATTTTTTAAAACAAGCATAACAGGTCGGCTTCCACGGGGAAAATTTCATTTGTGCATCCAAAACATCTGTACTTTTTTTGCACTTGTGTGCTAAAATTTACTACCAACTTAGTTTCTGAGTGTGACAAAGCTATTAAAACTTGCAGGGTTGAAACGGGCATTGTCAAAACACGCTGTTCAGGGAACAGGGGAGGAGCCCTGCAGCGGGGCCTCCGTTTTCGCGGAGAGGGCAATTGGAGAATGTTGCCTACCGTAGGCATAGTATGCAAGAAGAGATTAAGGTCGGCAGGAAAACGTAAAACTGGGATGCACGAGACTGCGTCTTTTCCACCCGCATCACATGGGTACAGATTACCACTCTATTAAAACCCAAAGCGTCCTCACCGCATTAAGGACAGAGGGTTGCACGAGCTGAGCCACCACAGGCCCGGGGCCACGATTTCCAGGTCCTGCCGCCGTGCGCCCTACCGTGTCCCCGACGTGATCCGGGCACTGCTGCTGGACAGCTCCACCGCCACTACGCGTCACCAGCCCAGACGCGAGCGAGCCAAGACCCCTGCGCCAGGAGTCCCCGCGCGGGCCCACGACACCGCAAGGCACCTCACGCACAAGTTCGTGGCTCCCTTTTCGCCGGGAAGAAAACCGAGGGGCCGAGGGAGCCGCAGCACCGCCAACGACTCAGGAGGCCCAGACAGAGTTAGGAGGAGGGCGGCCTTGGACCTCCCTTCCCGGTTCCTCGGCTCCGTCCCTGGAAGGAGCCACAAGTGAGGAGAAGTTGTGGAAACAAGACGGGGGAGGCGTGGGATGCGCGAACCCAAGAGAGTTTAACAAAAGCATATGCGTCTGTCCCACACAAGGTCCCCCGCTCCAAGTCACTCTGCCCTGCTCCCCCCGCGGACTTCCCGCCAAAGAGGCTGCCGCGCTGCCAGGCCAGCCCCCCGCGCCCCCTCGGCCCTTCCCCGCGGGCTACAGCGCCTCCCCGGCCTCCGGGGGCGGGCCGGAGCTCAGACCCCGGCTGGCCTCCCCGACGCCCGTTTCCGACGGCCAGCGTCTTTCTCCGACCACTTCCAGGGCTCCCCCGCCTCCACGCCCCCGGGGCTCCCGTCAACGTCCCTGTCTTCCCTCAGGGTGCCCCCTTCCCCGCCTCCGGCGCCGGGTCTCGTCAGGGACGCGGGACGCCGTTTCTTTCCTCCCGGCCGCCTCTCCTCGGGGTCCCACCTGGCGCGGGCCCCGTCCTTGGCCCTTCTCCTCGGCGAGCTGCCACCTCCCGAGTCCTCCCGGCCCCGCCCCGCTCCCGGGCGGATACAGTTTGAAGCCCCTCAGGATCTCCCGGGCACGCTCGTCCTTGGCTGACATGATGCGGCAGCCGCCGCCCGCGGCTCTCCCACGTTGGTCCGGCGGAGCCTCGCAGACGATGCCCCGGAGCCGACGACTGAGCGCAGGCGGACCTGGAGACCTCCCGCGAGCAGCGGCAGCGGCCAGACCCGGACCGGTTTCTCCCTTTCCCCAGCTCCCGCTCCTGATCCCTTCTCCTTCCCCTTAGCCTCGGAGTGCCCGCCCCGAAGCCAATAGAAAGCCCGTCCTGGCGATTGGCATCCGGATCAGCCAATAGAAATACTTAGCGGCTTCGCTGGGGGGACGAAGGGAGCCGACGAAAAGGGCCCTCCCCGGGAAGTCCCGTAGGACAAATTTTTCATTCGTTGTTGTTGCCTAGAGTTTGCCCCCGCGGAGGATTGGCTTTAAATCTGCAGAGGCTCCACGGGCCTGCTCTCTCCACTAGGCATACTAGGGCTCGGAGATGACTGCAGGTTGCACTGTGCGATGTGGTCGAGACTACATTTCCCAGCATTCCGGGGGCGCACCGGGGAATCACAAATCCCAGCGCGCAACAAAGAGGCCCCGGGACTACAAATCCCAGCATTCCATAAACCCTATTTCTCTGTAACTTAGACTCCAGTGTGCCGCGCAGTGTGCGCAAATTCTTAAGTCCTTCTTCAGGTTTGGTGGTATCTGAATCTCGGGAGTTAACACCAGGCAGGAAGACCCTCTTCACTCTCAGAGAAGATGACAACCCAACATAGAGGTAACTTCTGTTTACATGGAACTCAGAAATCTCCTGCAAATCCTGGTAAGGCTGCAAACAAAAACACTGATTAAACCATGAAAGACAGTATAACAAAATGACTCCTTCAGGTCATGTTGGTGTGTTGATCAGGGGCGCCTTTTACGTGTTTTCGGGGGTTTCTATTGTGCTCCTGCGCTGGACTGAGAGAGAAAGATCGTATACCCAGAATACAGGAAGGGACTTAAGAGAATTTGCTAATCCGACGTCTGTTTTACATGTGAGGAGACTGAGGCCCACAGAGGCGAAGAGATTGTCTACCGGTCACATCAAGTTGGGGCAGAGTTAGAATTAGGTCCTAAGGCTCCTGACCTGCTGTCTGGGCTCTTTGCACACTAGGCTGGCGATATTTTTAGCAGCATGGCTGGGTGATTATTATTCTCCTTGGTGAAATTGCCCCATCCAGGTTGAAACACCCAGGTTAGGTAAGCATTTATTTGGTGGATTTCCTCTAAGTGTGATGTTTGTTTATCTGCACTCTGGGTAAGACTTGGTGTTTTGATTCATTCTTTGTTGCTCAAGGTGACATTTAATGTGATTTCAGGAAGTAGGTAAAATTGTAGTGTAAGCAAAGGTTTCCTTGGAGATCTCCTATTTGTTTTTCCAGCCTTCCTTCCTCTTTTTGTTCCCCTTTCACCCACACGGGCACTGATCCAATTTTTCCTTTCATGTAATTCAACAGTTTTCTCAGCTTTCCTTATTTGCCAGGCTTTCTGTCAGTAAAAGGTGAAAGACATGGTCACTGCCCCCAGGAAGATAATCATCTAGTTATGGAAATAAGGAGAATCCACTGAGATTCAGGATGGACTGTGGTAAATGGCATAGAAAAAAGGACATCAGAATGCTACAGAGGCTGTAATGAAGAAATGTATTCCAGCTGCAAAACTTGATAGAGGAGGTGGCATTTGAACTCGAAGGATACATAGGGTCTTTTTTGCCTCTGTTAAAAATTTTTATATTTAGATTTTTAACATATAGTGAGGGCACAATTTTTGCATTTATGTACACCTGTGTCCCCACCCCTCAAATCAAGGTATGGAACTAGTCCAGTACCCCTCGTGCCTCTCCCCAATCAGTACCGCAGCCTCCCATTCCGATTGATAACTGCTCTTCCGACTTCTATTACCATAGATCCATTTTGTCTGTTTTTGAATTTCATTTAAATGTCATCATACAGTATGAGTCTGGCTTTTTTATTCATTAGTATTTTTGTGAGATTCATCTGTAAGTATGCAGTGTAGTTTTTTTTTTAATTGCTGAGTAGTATTCCATTGTATGTATATAGCACTGTTTATCTATTCTACTGTTGATGGACATTTAGGTTATCATCAACTTTTGGCTTTTATTAACAAATCTGCAATGAGTATTCTTACGTTTCTTAAGGTGGACTAGGAGAGGACTTGCTGGCTTGCCCGGTGGGCACATGATCAGCAATAGTAGGTATTGCCAATCTGCCAAGTGTGTGTGCCAGTTTTCATCTTCACCAGTGATGTGAGAGTTCTATTTGACTCTTATCCTTGTCAATACTGGGTCTTGTCTTTTATTTCTAGCCATTTTTGGCTAAATGTAGCATCTCATAACCTATAGTTCTTATTTACATTGTCTCTGATGATGAGGGCCATTTGCTTATTGGCTATTTGAATGTCCGCTTGTGAAATGCTCGTTCAAGTCTTTTGTTTACTTTTTAAAATTGAGATGTTTATCTTCTTATTGATTTATAGTTATTTTATAGTCTGGATATGGGGTTCCTTGTCTGGTATATGCTTGCAGATATCTTTTCCAACTCTCTGGCTTGTTTTTTCACTCTCCTTACTAGTGTCTTTTGACACACAAATCCTTCATTCTTAATTCTAATGCAATAGTTCGGTGTTTTCTTTGTTTCTTTATAGATTTTTAAAAAAGATTATTTATTTATTTTTAGAAAGAGGGGGAGGGAGAAAGAGAGAGAGGGAGAGAAACATCAATGTGTGGTTGCCCTTCACTTGTCCCCTACTGGGGAACTGGCCCACAACCCAGGCATGTGCCCTGACTGGGAATCAAACCAGCGACCCTTTGGTTCACAGGCCAACACTCAGTCCACTGAGCCACACCAGCCAGGGCCTGTGTTTTCTTTTATGATTAGTGCTATTTCCATAGAGTTTAAGAAATCTTTGTGTACAGAATCAGTAGGATTTTATTTATTTATTTAACCAGTCATCTTTTATTAAGTACTACATGAAAGGATTTTGAGGTTCTGGGCAAAGGTCATGGTCAGGAATATGGAGTCCACACTGGACCTTCTTCAGTGCTACTTGCATCATGCACATGTTTGAGTTCCTCATAGAGCAGCAGTAGTGGAAAAGCATTTAACTTGCCAGCACCATGGAAACCCCAGTGACACTCCCTTTCTTCTCATTGACTTATTTGTTGTAATACTGGTAGTAACCTCTTTGAAATGATTCAGCGATGCTTTTAGGGATGAAATCTCACATCAGTACCCAGCTTGGCAACTCCTCTAGTCTGACATCCATGAGTTTCTCCTTCAGTGCTACTACTGATACCATTTTGGAGTCTGGGGTGTTGTTGGTAGGAAATATGTAGAAAGAGATTTACAAAGAAGAAGACAGAGAGCAAGTTTGAGGCCCTGCTGTGAGAGAGAGGGTGTAAATTGTGCTGGGCATGGAGTTTGGGCTGTAAAGAGGGTGAGGCAAGACAAAGTCGGGAGGGTAGGCGGGAGCCATACTACAAAGGGCTTTAGCTGCAGCCTTGGAGTCTGGACATTGTTCTAGAGGAAGTGGAAGCACTGCTGAAATATTTATGAACTCAAACAGAACTTAGTTGTCCTCCTTTCACCACCAGATTTACCTGTCCTCTCTGAAGCCCTGTTCACTTACGGCCACCGCCAGGTAGCTGTGCCTTCCTTAGCCAGAATCCTGGGTGATATCCTCTTTCCCTTTCTCTGTTTTCAACTAGTCACAAGTCTGATAGCTTCTATGGTCTAAATGTCTCCAGTAACATTTCTTCTTTCACATGACCAACCACCACTACCCTTGTTCAAGATCTCACAGTCTCTTATCTGGAATATATCAAGGGTTTCCCTGCTCCAGTTCTCCCCACATCCAAGCCATTCCTATAGCAGCTGGTGTGATCAGTCTAAAGTGGCGATTACTCATACCTCTCAACAGCTTAAAAACCCTAACTAGCTCCTCAGTACCCCTAAGATAAAAGAAAAACTCCTTTATATATGGCTTACATCCTTTGTGATTTGCTTGCTTATTCTTCCAGGTTCAACTCAAGCCTAATCTCCTCTAGAAGCCTGCCTTAAATCACTTCTTCCCAGGGAGAGCCTTAACCTGTACTCTTAGGTGCCTGTGGCAACTGTCTGTCATAGCCAGATAGAGCTCTCTCTCCCAGGGGGCAGTGAGCTCTCCTAAGTAAGAACTTTGCTGTATTTACTGGGCATAGTGCCAGGCCTGTGGTGTCTAAGACCCAGGATGACCTGACCCCAGCTCTGTAGCCCTCACTTCTGAAACCTTGGTTCCAGCCATTTTGGGTGTCTTTTCTGCATCAGTGTGTGTTGCACAGTGCAAGCCTCTGTGACTATGATCACTGCCTCCTTTCCTCCCCCCGTTTTGCCTAGAAGATGCTTGTGTTTTTCTTCCCCAACATACTCTCTTCTGCGCTTCCAAAGTTTTGTCTCTCATAGCACTTCACACATTCAAGCTTTTTGAGGGCAAGAACCTTGTTGGGTTTTTTTTCATATAACCTTCATATAATTTTCTAGGTGCTAAAGACATTTTTGAATAAATGAATGGGTTGGAGTTAGGCTCCTTTGCATCGTGCTGACTGCTTTCTGCACTCTAAAACACGAAAGGCAAATACAGGTCTTTTCCTCATCTTCAGGACCTCGAAGTCTGTGGTGCACACTGTATTTTAAAGGAATCAGTTTAAGTGTTCAGTTATATAGTAATTCCTTAGCCATCTTACTGGAGAGTTATTAAGTCCCAAATGCAGCCACGAATGTCATTTTGGTCACAGAGGCATTGTTGGCTCCATCCAACTGTGCTTATTTTTTTAAAAAATTTTCTGAAGAGAGGTCAAGAACATGATCTTGGGCTTCAGACAGTCTAGGTTCCAGAGCGGACTTTGCTACTTACTGGGTTTGGAATTTTTATACTTAGTTATTTCACCAGAAAATGGGGATAACATTACAGGCCATAGAGTTACGAGAATTCAACGAAACAATGTATGTTACTGTATGGCTTACTATATGTCTCCATTCCCCGGGTAGACACAGTCGCCAAAGGGAGCTCTTGCAAGGTAAAACTCTGTCAAAGGGGTGGATTTTAGATCCAGGATGGTGAAGATTTGGGTCCCAGTACCGTCTAGGCTGTATTCCCTCTCTCGGGCCTCTCCCCACCCCGATTCCTGGGCTACAGTCCAGCAGGAATCCCTTCTCCTGGCCGGGCCCCATTGGAGATGTGAGGCTGTGAGCACAGTGAGGGGAACCTAGTGTGGGCGGAACTGGAATGCAGCAGCGGGAGGCTTCTGGGGGAGCGGTAAGGGCGACGGGTCGGCGGAGGTAGAAAAGCGTCGGACGCCCGGCCGATCATGGACGCTTGACAACCTGCGGGCAGGCGCCGGGAGGCCGAGACAGCGACCTAAAGGACGGAGAGGCGGCGAAGACAGGTAGGGGCCAGCGAGAAGGTGGGACCCGGCCAGCCAGGTTCGTCCGGGATGTCGGGTTTAGTGCCGGCGGCCTGGAAGGCCTGAGGCTACACCGCCCCGCCCCCGCCCCGGGGAGCGTGCCCCGCGGCTCCCCACTCCGCACCCGCCGTCCTGTCAGGGAGCAAGCCGCGAGGCCGCTCTCCCTGAAGTCCGACCTAGCCTGAGACCCTCAGCTCCCGCGCTGCGGCTGCTCACGCTTTCCCACCCTCAAAGGTTGCCTCTTTACCCCTCGGCTATCTATCAAAATAGCGCCCCCCACGACAGGAATTCATTACCCCAGTGTCTCCAGCCTCCTCCTCCGGCCCTCCCACACCAGGAGAAAGCGATTATCAGCGCCTGTTTATCTCCTTTCCCCCACGGGCTTTGCTTTTCAGGCAGAGATTTTTTTTTTTTTTTGAGACCAAAATTTCTCTCCATTTGTCTAATCCTTCTCCACCTCCAGGCCTTTCCATTCAATCTGTTCACACGTGTCCACTTGGAAGGGAGGTTTTCGTTCCACCTCCCCCTTTCCCCTCCCACCCTCTTCACTCTCCTATTACCTCATCCCTTCTCAGTAACCTTTATTCCCTGGCACTTCACCTTTTCATTTCCGACAAGACCTTAGAACCCTAACTGAGACTACATACTTGTTTTTCTAATACCGTAGAAGGGCTGCAGCCCTGTGTGCTTGACTCCCCAGGAAAACTTAGTTTCTCTTGCACCAAACCATCCTTCTTGGAATTGTTCTGTGCTTCAGCTTACAGAAATTTTCCTCCTTCATTTTGTTGTACTGCCCCAATATGTATCATCCTTGGAGGAGTTATCTTTTCTGATGCAGGATCCTGAGCAGTGGGTTTGCAGTGCTGTGTGTCCACACACGCTCAGCACGTGATTGGATTACACAATTGAGGGACCCTCCTGTCCCTGATGTCTTCAGGATGGCAATATAGTATCTTCATTGTTTTCTCAGACCTTCTTATTGTTTTCTTGAGGATTTATATAAATTCTGAAATCATGTTTGGTAAAATGTCACTTCTCAGTAGAAGGACAAGTCGAGGGATATTTTTCATGGACTTTCTTTTCACCATGTATTTTCTTAGTTTGAATAGGTTGCTGCTTATCTTTCAAGATGATTTCCTCCCTTTTTTTGTCCTTAAATACTTTGATTAAATGAAGCATCTTTCTTGTCTTTTTTTGGTGTCTTTTTCTTACCTGTTCCTGGTGGTAGATGGGAGTCTAAGACACTCCGGAAGCTGTAACTGATTGCTTTTCCTTGCATCAGCCACCTCTGTATGGGCAGGACTCTCTTTTTCTTAACCAGAGTCTGTAAATGAGGTGGATATAACACAGCTACTGAGAAACTCCTGTGTGTTTTTTTAAGTCTTGGTTAGGCTTAAGGGCTTAGAACATGCTGCCTTTGGGAGAGGGCCAGAGGGTGATTAGGGGGGTTTTACTAAGTGTGTTTCAGACCCCAGAATAAGGACAAAATTTCTTTAACTCCAGGTTGAATCCTACCCATCTCACAAAGTGGTCACAGTCCCTGGACTCAGGAACTGGTTTTTCTTTTTTAATACTATAAAGTTGTTCTGATATCTGATTCAGCATTAAATAAGCATAGGCTTTGCAAAGGAGAAGGAAAAATGATGGGAACACTTTTCTTTTGGACAGATCTTAAGGCCAGAGAATGGCAGGTGAACAGAAACCCTCAAGTAACCTCCTGGAACAGTTTATTTTACTAGCCAAAGGCACTAGTGGCTCAGCCCTCACCGCCCTCATAAGCCAAGTCTTGGAGGCGCCTGGAGTGTATGTCTTTGGAGAGCTGCTGGAGCTGGCCAATGTGCAGGAGGTAAGGGCAGTTTCTAAACAATTTCTCTATCTTCTCTGTGCTAAGCCTTCCTTTGAGTCTCCAGGTTTCCAAGGAATTGCAGTGCCAAAGCATTGCAGACCTGTGAGGTGCCCTGCTGAGGGAGGGACGGGAATTGGTGGGGCAGGGGGAGAGAGCAAGAATGATGTCCTGGACTCCTTCTAGTCAGCATTTTCATCTGAACTTGAGGTAAAAGTAGATTGGTTGCTAATAATTTGAAAGATAGGGGAAAATGTAGTCGAACCTAGTAAATTAGAAATGTAGAGTATAAGCATGGACTGATATTTAACAGGGGTAGTTTCAAGCACCCTTAGGGACAAAAACCTCCAGTGTAAATATTGACCAGGAAGACTGGTCAGGTAGATAGGTAGCACGGAGTGATTGCTTCTGAGCCTGAGGTAGGCATGAATCAGGAGTGCGTTGTTCCTGTGGAAAAGGGCAATGTTGTGTAGGTCTGGAAAGGAGAAAGGATACGACTGACGTGCTGGAAAGTAGTCCTTTTTGCTGTTTGTTTCTGTTTGGTTGTAGTTATTAAAACCTTGGGTATCCAGTTTTGGTTGTTATGCTTTAAAAATGAGATGATGCAGTGGAAAATGACCAGGTGGAATAAAGAAATGTAAAGCAACCTATACTTTTCAACCTCTCCTTTCCACTTTGGATATTTTTTATGGTTGACTCTCACTATCCATAGGGCATTGGTTCCAGGATCCCCCTCTGATGCTCAAGTCTGCTGTGTGAAATAGCATAGTGTTTGCGTAAATGGCAGGGTATACCTACACATCGCTTCATTCCCGTGTATTCAGCATACTGGCTAATTCAAGGTCTGCTTATTGGAACTTCCTGGGATTGTTTTCCAGAGTTTTAAAAATTTAATTTATTTATCTTTAGAAGGGAAGGGAAGGAGAGAAGGAGAGAAATATCAACGTATGGTTGTTTCTGGTGCATCCCCTGCTGGGAACTGGCCCCTGCAGGGAACTGGCCCGCAACCAGGCATGTGCCCTGACGGGGAATCAAACCAAGATCTTTTGGTTCGCAGGCCTGTGCTCAATCCACTGAGCTACGCCAGCCAGGGCTGTTTTCCAGATATTTTTGATTCATGATTGGTTGAATCACCAATGTGAAATCCGGATACAAAGGTTGACTGTGTTTACGTACTGATTGGTGCTTATGTATTCATTGACTGAGACGGAGAGAGATCTGGTGACGTTTTTAGTACTTTGGGGGTTGTGTTCAGGTACTCTTGGTGCGGTAGGTCGGCTTCCTTTTTACCATCACAGCTTCTTTCTGGCTGCCAGGATGGTGCTGGCTCTGAATGGCTTTCACCTGCAAATCTGGGCGGTACTTGTTCTTGGGGATCATGTGCGTGATGCTGCTGAGGGTGGCCTGGCGTTGATGGTGGCCTGGCGTTGATGGCGGCCCACACACAGGATGTGGTTGGCTTTTGCTGGCCCATTCTTCCCTTCACAACCACTAGGACCCTTTGCTGCTGGCTGCTGGCTCCATGCCCACAGCTCTGTGGTGTGTCATCTCATTATAGTAGGAGTCGCAGGCCTTCCAATGACTGGTGTTGTGATGTGAGGACATGACGTCCTCTCTTCTCCCTGCAACAGCCAGAGACCAAAAGAGCTGCTTTTATTTTTTAATTGTGAACTTTAAAAAAATTTGTTTTAAAGGTTTTATCTATTTATTTTTAGAGAGAGGGGAAGGGAGGGAGAAAGAGAGGGAGAGAAACATCAGTGTGTGGTTGCCTCTCACATGTCCCCCAGCTGGGGACCTGGCATATGCCCTGCATCTCAGGCATGTGCCCTGACTCGGAATCGAACCAGTGACCCTTTGGTTTGCTGGCCGGTGCTCATTCCACTCAGCCACACCAGCTAGGGCTAAACATAAATTTTTTATTGTTGTTCAATTACAGTTTCCCCATTTCCCCCTCTAATTGTGAACTTGTAATATTAGTTTTGTTTGCTAGACAGTATGTTCTGTTGTGTTGACTGTTGTTTCCTTAGAGCTTAATATGTGGACTGACATACACGGGCTTTCGGTCCCAGTTTAATATGTCAGATGGAAAAGGAATGCTGTAGGGAAAATTGAAGAGAACTGGGTTCTTTGAAAATAGACTTTATTTTGTAGAGCAGTTTTAGAGTCACAGCAAAATTGAAAGAAAAGTAGAGGTTTACCATATGCCCCCTGCCCTCACACATGCGTGGCCTCCCCTGTTACCAGTGTCCTTCCCTAGCGTCGAGCCTGCTTTGACACATCATTGCCACCCAGAGTCCATGACTTGCTTGGGTTCACTCTTGGTGTTGTACATTCTGTGGGTTTGAACAAAAGCGTAATGAGTGGCTTGTATTTGCTAGTACAGCATCATGCAGAGTAGTTTCTCTGCCCTAAAAATCCTCTATGTTCTACGTGTTTGTCACTCCCGTCCCTCTAACCCATGGCAACCAGTGATTTACTTTGTGGTTTTGACTTTTTCATTATGTTATAGATGGAATCCTGCAGTATGTAGCTTATTTATTTTTATTTTTAACTTTTTAAAATTTTATTTATCTTTAGAAGGGAAGGGAAGAAGAGAAGGAGAGAAATATCAATGTATGGTTGCTTCTGGTGCATCCCCTGCTGGGAACTGGCCTGCAACCCAGGCATGTGCCCTGACGGGAAATCGAACCACAATCTTTTGGTTCACAGGCCCATGCTCAATCCACTGAGCTACACCAGCCAGGGTTTTGAGATTGGCTTCTTTCACTTAGTAATATGCATTTGAATTTTCTCTATGTCTTTCATTGCTTGATAGCTAATCATTTCCACAGAAGAGATGACTAAGGGGTAATATGTTCTTCAGGTTCACAAAAAGCCTGAGTGAACATGCCAACTAGTTGTTTTGTCATTATGCGATTAGCTAAGAGGAGACAGATGAAAATGGAAGCTGGAAACACCTTATTAATGTGGACCAGTGGGAGAAGTTTTAGAGTATTTGCTTTAGAGAAAGTAGTCTGTTACAGCTAGTTTTGTAATCATCTGTCTGAAAAACTGGGGGTAGATTTGATGATCTGCTTCTGATTCAGGACTTCAGGAGGCTATTGACGAATCTGAAAAGGTAGACTGGAGTGTTAGGGTGCCTGCTCTCGCTCTCATTGGGGTGCCTAGCAAATCAACTCTATCTCCCCACAGTTTGTTTTTTCCATATATAAGTTGGGAATAAGCTAGTTGTCTTTCTGTGGTCTGAAATTACAGATGTAGTTCTTGGAACCTTTTTTAAAAAGATAAAATTGGGTAGTATTACCACTTGTGTCCATAGAATAATTATACTCCTATTTTACTGATAAATTGGTATAAGTCCAAAAAAAAACACCCAGTTAAGATAATTAAAGTCAGAGACTATCTCCTTTCTTCTGAAGATGGCTCTGACACCAGTGTCAGGAATAGGTTTTTTTTTTTTTTTCACATTTTTTTAATTGTTGTTCATTCTCCATTCTACCCCCTGACTCCCCCCAACAGGAGTAGGTAATTTTTTTTAAAACATTTTATTTATTTTCAGAGAGAGGGGACTGGAGGGAGAAAGAAAGGGAAACACTGATGTGTGAGAGATACATCCATTGGTTGTCTCTTGCACACCCCCAGCTGGGGACCTGGCAGGCGTGGGCAGTGATGGAAAGTCAAACTTGTGACCCTTCAGTTGGCAGGCCAGCACTCAGTCCACTGAGCCACACCAGCCAGGTCAGAAATAGGTAATTTTAAGGAACATTTTTATTTGAGGTGGCCTGATATCCTGGCTTTCTGTCCCAACCTGACTCTTCTGTCATGCCTTATGCTGTGCCAACCTTTCCCAGCGTCACAGCTCACACACAGTCCTGAAACTTGGAACCTGCCCTGTACTTTGTTCAGTTTGGACTGATAGTGGCTTGTGCTGCACCTGGCAGGCTGGTGCGTGGACAAGGTTGCTCCAGTGTTTGTTTTAATGGTGAGGGAGTCTTGATTGAGAAAACTTGGACTGTTTTCAGTACTTACTGTTTTGTGTGCACGTGTAGAAGCAAAAGCAGTCGCTTGGGCGTGCTGTATGGAGTGTAAAACGTACTCCTGGGAGAGAAAAGTTAAATTCAGGGCTTTAATAATCTTATTTATTTTTTCCCAAAGAATGAAAGCGTTGGAAGGGACCAGCTGGTAAAATAGAACCGTGGTGCGCACTCACCTGCCCTCTGCTTGAACATTGCGGTGGTTGGTAGACAGCTTGGTCTGTGAACTCTTTCCTTTCCTCCTCAGCTGGCAGAAGGAGCTAACGCTGCTTACTTGCAGTTGCTGAACCTGTTTGCTTATGGAACATACCCAGATTACATAGGTGAGTTGGTGAAGATCTTCCAAAGACCTTTCTTGTAACGAACTATAGAAATGATCCCTGAAAGTATAGTCTTAAGACTTTTCCTAATTATGTCCCTCTGTTCAGATGCATTGTCTCCATGAGGATCACTGGGGTTTGGGATAAAAAGCAGGGGGCAGGATCTTCTTGGCCTGGCTGCTTCCCATTGCACTGTGCTCTGTAGGTGACCTCACATGAGGACTCTCCCTTCTCACCTTTGACTTCCCAGGGGTTGGCACGGGACTTTGTTTATGCTCTTCAATGAATATAGGATTGTGTGTTTTCCAGATGAGATTCTTGAGAACTGGTGTTTGTAGAACACTTGGAGTGGTGTGAAATGTCAGAGTACCCACTTGTGAAGTACTTAAACATTTTAAATAGTGTCAAAATAATATGGCTATACTGTATTGAAGAAACTTGGGAAAATAGGGAGGAAAAAAGTAATAGTTATACCAGTGTTCATTAAACTGCTGTTTAGCATCATGGTGCTGGATTTTCCCTCCTCTGCTCGGGATTTTCATTATGTAGGTATAGTTAGATTATGTATACAATTTTATATTTTGCTTTTTCCACTTATTTCATAGGCATTTATCCATGTTTTGAGTCTGTATATCCATTTTAGTGTTCCATAATCTAATACTCCGTAACCTACCTAGCCCATTCTCTTTTGTAGATCATTTGAGTCATTTAAAATTAGAATCATAAATAGCATGTCCTAATGCTAACTTACCTTCCACTCAGGCCATGTTCACTCAGCTTCCCTGGTTCATTTTAGTGGCCTGACAAAAGCCTGGTAGTTTGTTTTAGTGGTGTGACCCAGGACCTTCCCTCCTATATCCCTGGTCCCCCTCTTTATCACTGTCTTTCTTGCTGGGCAGTTCTACTTTCTGCTGCTATCAGACTGGACAGTTCGCCGCTTGCCAGTTTTTTTCTGACCTTCGCTTTGTTCCAGTGAGTCTGTCCTCTGTTTCTATTCTTACTAAAGAGGCAGCATTGCACAGACTCTGGAACCAGAGTCTGCATTATATTCTAGCTCCAGTTCCACTAGTTGTGTCTTTTGGCACATTAAATAACCATCAGCATCTCAGGATGTTTCAGAATCAACTTGGGGGAATCTAAACAGGTAATATACTGCATATGCCTTTTTAGTTAACACCTTTGAAGGGTGTGGGCAGCACCTGTAGTCAAACAGTCATAATTTTGCAGCAAAACAAATGAATATTCACAACAAGTGGGATAAAAAAGCCCGCCTTAATTCAGGTCAAGAATTGCTACCAGGTGAATTTTAGCACCGTATCAAGGAAAGAAAATGTTTGGATTCACCTTTTTGGAATCCAGCATTACGGATCAGGAATTGAAAGCTTTAGAATCTATCTCATGGGGTTGTTGTGAGGACCGGCTGGGTGTGTGTGAGTGTGCATGTGGACCTCTCTGTGGGTCTGTGCCAGGTAAAGCTTTCCCTGGGTGTTACCTGCAGCTGCCGCCATAACTCTGTTAATGTCATCGCTATTTCTGAATTCTTGCCCATCCTTCAAGGCTCATTTCAAACTCCGTATTTTTTCCCTCTCCTGTATCTCCTCAATGTGATTGGGTTCACTTGCTCTCTCTCTCTCTTTCTCTCTCTCCCCCCTTCTCCCCCTCTTTCCCTAGCTCTCTCCCTTTCTCCCTCCCTCTTCCCTCTCCCCCCCTCTCTTTCTCATCCTTTTGCTCTCTTCTGGTAGTTTGTACCTTTTTTCTGTTAGTTCTGTCTTGCATTTATAAGACAGTGCCTTGCACATAGCAGATGCCCAGTGAAGATGTGTTGAACTTGATTGCATGTTACAAAGGGCACAAATGGTATTCTAGTAAGATAACTGTCAAGTATATCCATACCTGGATTTTCAGGAGATTAAGCTCTTTGAACATAGAGGCTGAGTCTCGTCTCTGGAGGCACAGGACCTTTCAAAGCAGATGGGAGGAACTCGTGGGACATTTGCCTCATGATAAGTGCAGAGTCATGACAGTGTCTCAGTGGTGGGTTTGGTGTGGGGAAGTGCTGTGCATATTCCATAAAGGAATCCTAATTTCATTTTGTGTCTTGATTTTTGTGGTGGGTGGGACCGAGCAGCCAACAAGGAGAGCCTGCCAGAACTCAGCACGGCGCAGCAGAACAAGCTGAAACACCTTACCATTGTGAGCCTGGCCTCAAGAATGAAGGTACAGCCTTGCGCCTTTTCCCGTCCTCCTCCTCACCTCGAGGCAGGTCTTTCGCTGGCATCATTGTGGGATTCCCAGCTACACACAGTGGAGTCAGAGTGCAAATGCACAAAATTTGCTTGGCAAAGGACAAAAGAGGAAAAGATAATTGAAATAGTGTTGACAATTATTCACCCTCCCATTTAGGAAAAATATGCCCAGGAGTGACTGTGAATGAGCAGCTCCCGGTTCGGGTGTGCCGAGGTGCCTGCATGGTGTGAGCACGTTCCCTTCTGAAGGGACACTGCTGTCCAGAGAGAGGTGTTTTTTAAAACAGCAGGGCATCTCAAGGCGAGTTAAGCACTTCATCTGTTGCCCGGTGTACAGTGAGCTGTGCTAATGCTGTAGGGAAAACTTGCTGTGTTGGACTTACTGGGAAGTAGATTTTTAATATGTTGCCTTCTCCTGGGGATTTTCAAGGTTAATTTTACTCATTGGAATTTCTGCCTTGCATGTTGGCTTTAGGCCTGAACCTTCTGTAAGATGTCATCACTCCACTGTGTGTGACTTTCCTACCCCCTCAATGTAGAAACAGCCTTGCAAACAGCTGCTCATAGTCATTAACAGAGGAGATCCAGATTCCGTTAATTTATAGTTGATTTGGCTTTCTGCCTAGTCCCAGCCTGAGTCTTTAGGAACTGTGCCTTTGAAAAAGTTGCTTTTTGCATTTCCCCTCTGGGATTGAGCTCGAGAGGTATGTGTTTCTTCTTGTGCTGTCATTGCTTGGCTGAAATCACTTTATATGATCTAATCACAAATTTCTGACATTTCAGGTGGGGGGCTATTTTGTTAGGAAATGAAGACCTGACCTTTTTTTTTGTCCTGATCATGGACTTCTCAAGTGTAGTAAAGAGTAGGAGTAGGTTTTTCCTTCACTTTTACACCCTGACATAAGCCCATTTGCTGCCGCTGGGTTTTAGACCTTTAATCAGACAAAACCGTGCTAGGTGTGTTTGCTCTTACTCTCTTCTGTGCGTGCATTTTCCTCCTGCCTATTTTTGCAGATTTGGTCACTGTATTAATTTCCAGACTAAAAGTAATGTGTCAGGATTTGCAGAAAACTGGATGTGTAGATATCCAGTTGTCTTGGAGTCATACAGAACGATGGTGTAGCCCAATAAAGGACCGTTGTTGGGAATTGAGAGTGGTTACAAAGAGTCCGAGAAAACCACTGTAGACTTCAGGATGACCTCGGAGCTGGCCGTACTGCTGGCCACCTGTGGGTGGGTGCGTGAGCCTGCATGTGTTCTTGCTTGTACTCTGCCAGGTAAGCCTTCGGTTTCTCCTGGCCAGTGTCTGTGGTTAGAGTTTTGTGATGTTCTGGCATTTCGTGCAAAGTCTGCAAGCTTTCAGAAGGTGGCAGAGTGGCATATACCAAGTATTTCCTTTTCTCTTCTGTAAAGAGTTTAGGGCCTCAAAGAGTTTGTTTCAGGGCATGAAAGCTGAAGGTGGGGCAAAGTCCAGGAGGCCGAGAATCTTGGAGAACACATTCCCAGATGCTGTGGGTCCTGTTTGGATCCCACAGGTCTTACAGCTCATTTACCCATCTCTTGTTGCCACAGATGATGATAATTACCACTACACTGCATTTCCCAAAGCCCTGAGGCAGCTGTTGGCTATGTCGGTAATACCTGCATTTCTTTAATGTTTGCCAGTGGTTTTTGTAAACATCACATGGCCTTATCTGCAGTGTATCCCCTACTCCGTGCTGCTGAAGGACCTGGAGATGCGGAATCTCCGGGAGTTGGAAGACCTCATCATCGAGGCTGTCTACACTGACATCATCCAGGGCAAGCTGGACCAGCGAAACCAGCTGCTGGAAGTGGATTTCTGCATTGGCCGTGACATCCGAAAGAAGGACATCAATAATATCGTCAAGACCTTGCACGAGTGGTGAGACTGAAAGTTGGCGGGCTCTCTTCTCTTTAGGGAGGAGGTTATCTAGCCTCTGTTTGGAGAACTACAGGCCGCAGGTATTAGCTGGGGCTGCCCGGGGAAAGTTTGCCAGAGAGTGAAGGGCTACATTTGTGACAATAACTGTGCGGTAGTAGGAATCCCTTCAGGACTCCTGCTGCCTTGGTTGTAAAAGAGTTTCTGTCCTAGTACAGCTGGGGGCTGTTTAACAGTGGGCTAGCAAATGCCCAGAGTTGACAAATGGAGCCTCCGAAGCCTAGCTCCATGACACCAATCCTGTGCTTTGCAAACCAGTCTCAGAGTTTGACCACACTCGGGAAGCTGGTTTGGTAAGATCTTCGGGTAAGAGAACCTGTGCTCAGCGTCGGTAACATTGGGCCAGTGTCTATAAAACGTTGTGAGGGACAGTGAGGACAAGGAATGGGTCATTCTAAGTTGGAACACAGACTGACACTATATTAATAAAACTATATTCTGGTATAGTTTTATTATAAGAAAGGAATGGGATGTTTGCATGTACTCGATTTAATAGAGGTTTAATAGAATTTGATGTTTGCAGGAGCTGTTTCAGGTTCTGTAAGGGTTTGTTATGAAGTTATTTAAATGATTTGGGTCTTGTAAAGCCAGATGGACTTAATCAGAGACGAAGTTTTAGCTGAGTTTTGAAGGAGAGCCAGGGTGAGAGCATGGTTGGAGGTGAAAGAGTGTGTTCCCAGGCAGGCCCACGGCAATTTGGAGGTCAGGAAGCAGAGGAGGCGAGCTTTGTGTAGAGGGGGAGGGAGACTTTTCTGTAAAATAGGTGGAATGTCTGGCTTATTCCCAAGAGGAGTATATCTCGATTTGAGCCCCTGGAGTCTAATGCTCCCCACCCTGATGCCCTAGTGTCCCTCACTTCAGCTATTGTCGGCCCACCCCTCACCCCAAGTTCTAGTCCAGTATGACCCCTCCTTCCCTGTACAACCTCTGACCAAAGCAGGAACTTTCAAAAGATTGTAGAACTCTTAAAGGAAAGTAAATGGGAAATAAACTTGGAAAATGCCCCTAATAGGAAAACGGTCTGTCTACCAAGTCTGGCTTCCCGGAGACCCGTGGGGGCCGGCTTTCTGGTGCCGTTCTTGGCATGGCTGACACAGTTTTCACGTCCGTGGTCTGGCTTCCTACTCGTAGCCCCCGACAGGTTTCTACCCACAAGTGCCATCCTAACCCCCATCCCAGGAGGCTTATTAGTACAGATCCTTAAAACTTTGTTTAGGCCTTGGAGTTCAAATTGAAACAGAATTGGGATGTAGAGTGGTCCCACAGATAGGGCACGATGTTCACATTATTGAGTTTTAACGGAAGGATTATGTGGGTGTTCATTGTACTATTCTTGCAACAATTTTTAGGTTTAAAATTTTCAGAATAACAAGGGAAAAGAAAATGGGGGGAGTGACAGGAAGTAACTTAAAACTTCTGAGAAAGGGAGCAATCTTCAAAATAGGGTGCTTTTAGGAAATAATTTTGTTTTCCGAGAAAAATGTAAGTTCTCCCTTAATTGCTTTTACCCTATGATGTGTGAAACTTCCCCGTGGCATGCGAAGGATGGAGATTAAAGCTGTGTTCTAAGAAACTACTCCACATACTCCGTGTTTGTTGCCACGTGCCCTGTGTTACATGCCTTGTGTTTAGGAACGGTTCTCTCTTGCGAGGAGTGCAGGGGCGAGAGCCCTGGCAGAGGGGGGTGTTACGGAAAGACCCACCTGTAAGGAGCTGGGAAGGGAGATTTTGGAGCCAGGACGAGAGCTCCCAGGCCTTCCTGTGGCTCAGGACCGATTGCCTCCTTTGCAGGTGTGATGGCTGTGAAGCGGTTCTGCTGGGCATCGAGCAGCAAGTTCTGAGAGCCAACCAGTACAAGGAGAACCACAGCCGAGCCCAGCAGCAGGTAGAGGCAGAGGTAAGGAAGGGGGCTTTGTTCCCTGCTCCAGGGGCGCCCTGTTTGCTCCGTCGTCCTGTGAGTCTTGTTCTAGATGGAATAAGCAGTTACCAACAAACGGGGTGGGGGTGAGTGTGGCATGGTCTCTGTTCTTCTGCTCTCCATCTCATGTCTGCTTACAGGTCGGCAGAGGGCCGGTAGGCTTAGAAAGCCGAGAAGGTTGTAATTCCTCAGTACACGTGCACTTTACAGCTGGAGAGCAAAAGACATGAGGTTGGGGGTGTACCTTAAAGATGGATGGGAAGAGGTACCAGTCTCAACTCTTCTTAGCTTTGGGGAACTTAGTTCTGCTCTAGAGGGTTCAGCAGGATGGCGGCTTCCCTGGTTCAACTTGCTTTGGACAGCCTGTGAGGCAGACTTGATGTGCCGCTTGAACTGATAATAAGTCAGTGGGGGGCCTGAAGTTGAGCCCTTGAATAAACTGCACAAAGGAGATTCCAGACCCCTGGCAGCCAGGTCGTGACTGTAGCAAGAAACATGTCCAGGGAAAACTCTCATCTGTCTCTTCTTCGACTTACGGCGGAACCAGAACAGCTGTTTTGAAAATTAGACTATAATCAAATTCAGGAATCAATACCATCAGTGTTCAGTTTTTTTGAAAACTAGCAAAGGACTGAAAAAGTTTTCTATGAGGGGATAAAATATTTTCATATTGTTTTGTTTTAAGATTACTTTTTTAGAGAAAGGGGAAGGGAGGGAGAAAGAGAGGGAGAGAAACATCAACGTGTGGTTGCCTCTCGTGCAGCCTCCACTGGAGACCTGGCCCACAACCCAGGCATGTGCCCTAACTGGGAATCGACCCAGCGACCCTTTGGTTTGCAGGCCAGCAGTCAATCCACTGAGCCACACCAGCCAAGGCTAATTTATTGCAGTAGAAGTGGATTTAGAATCGTTGACGATGCTGTAGACCTTTTTGAATTTTTTATTTTACTTTATTATTTATTGATTTTAGAGAGAGAAACATTGATTAATTCCACTTATTTATGCATTCATTGGTTGATTTTTGTATGTGTCCTGACTGGGGATCAAACCCCCAACTTTGGCTTGTTGGGATGACACTGACCAACAGAGCTACCTGGCCAGGGCCACTGTAGAACTTTTCCTGGAGATTTATTATATATTTGCAGGTACATAAAGAATGATACTTAAAACAATATCTTTAAAACTCTAGCAATCCTAGGAAGCCAGTAAAACTTGTAACTTATCATTGATGTAAAAAGGGACAGTTTTTCCTTTCACTTCATTTTAATTTTTAGTATCAATAGAATGTTATAAAGATATGTACTTTCTCAATTAAAAAATTTCTTGCTGAGAAATAATACGAGTTACAGAAGACAACAACAACAGTAAGGTGGCTGGAAGGATGGCGGTAGCAGGTGCAGGGCCGGGGGAGGGGGGTGTGGCTGGGCAGGGTGCGTGGCTTCAGGCCACGGCACCGGGCTGCTTCTTAAACTGTGTCGCGGAGCAGTGTTCATTTTATGCTTCTCTAAACTACATATGTGTTGTAACCTTTTGAAATGTGCGGTGTATTTCATACTAGAAAAAGAAGAAAGGGAAAAATTTGGTGGGTGAAAGAAATGCAAGTGAAGATAAAAGTGTGACTGGTATTCACGGCACCTGCTTGTTCAGGACGCTGGTGGCCTCTGGGCAGGACACGGGCACCGCCGTTGGGCCGGCAGGCACTGTTTGTGTGCCGGTAGCCTGGACTGTGTGTAGCGACCTCGGAGTTGGTGTAGAGCCCTTAGGCTCCTAGTGCTGGCATTGGAAGTCTTCTCCTGGTGCTACAGGGCTTAAAGTGTTGGTGGCACTTCCTGAGTTTTCTGAATCGGGTGTCCTGGAGTGTGGCAGAGTGGGCCCAGAATCGGAGCTGAGGAACAGTAAGATGCTGTGCCTTTTGAAGGGGGATTTGTGAAATTTGAAGATTTCCCTTCTCTGTTACATGCCTCCTTGAAGGTAAAGCCTGTGTCTTTTGTGTCTTTGTAAGACCGGCGCCCAGTCCCGTGCCTGACCAGCCGTAACGGCTGCTCGCGTGGCGCCGAACGGGATGTTTCTGGCACAGCCCTGAAGCACACGACTGAACTCTGCTTTTCATGAACAAGAGTGAATTTATTTTGGATACACGCACACTCCCTCATGTACTTCACATTCCCACTCTGTGCGTGTTCAACCATCATTGATTTTTTAACTCTAAGCCAAAGAAGAGTGAACTACTTTTAATTTAGCTTTAGCCAAAGACAAATTCAACTATGAAAACAAGCCTTCTGTTTCTCTAATAAGCTGTGTTATCACCTTCATGACGACTGTGGCCTCTTGTCTGCTCAGCAATTGATGCCTGAAAAGTAGGAAGGGCCAGTCACTGTGTTCTCTCTGTTGCTTCTCACCCGTGAACCAAACCCTGGAAACACGCGAGGTTTGGAGGCGAAGCGTGCCCACCTGACCGGGGCAGCCTGCATGAGACACGCTGTCTTTAACCTGATTGGAAGAGCCCGACTGCTGCTGGCTGCCCTGTCACGCCTGGGTGACACTAGTTTCAGAATTTCGAACCGTTCAAGTTTATTCCATGACGAACGGCATCTGCTGAAAGAAGGCAGAGATGTGAACATAGGTACTTCAGACACTTGGCTAATGTTGAGGCACAGCCAATACTTAGACAGCAGTGTGGGCACAATCTTTAAATTAGGAGTATTTTAAAAAAGGAAAGACGAGGAAAGGACATGGGAAGTAAAGGGGAAAGAAAAGTAAAGAAAAGAAAAAAAAAGAGCCAGGGAATGGATTTGTAATCAGTGGCTCACTGATGCAAAACGTGGGTATGGATACCCCTGCTGGCAGAGCCTGATACTGCCACCAGGTGGCAGTAAGGAATAGATTAATAAGTTGGAGAAAGAAATTTGAGGAGAAGGCTCAGTAAAGACCACCTTCAATACCAAAGAAAACAGTCTGCTGATTTAATAATTATCTAGGCCCAGGCTGGTGTGGCCCAGTGGATTGAGCATTGGCTGGGAATCAAAGGGTCTCTGGTTTGATTCCCAGTCAGGACACATGCCTGGGTTGCAGGCCAGGTCCCCAGTCGGGGGTGTGCAAGAGGCAACCACACATTGATGTTTCTGTCGCTCTCTTTCTCTCTCCCTCTCTCTAAAAATAAATAAATAAAATCTTTCAAAAACAATCATCTAGAGAATCTGGAGCAGACCAGTATGAGGAGGAACACAGCCAAAGCCAGAGCCTTGTCGGTTTTTCATTCGGTAAATGATGATCAGACCGCTGAGTGTAGGATGCCGATAACTTCCCGGCAGAGGCACACTAAATATTTGTGACTGGAAAAGAAAATAAATCTGCAAAGAACAGAGCTGTAATTTGGTCATATTCTGCTGGTATTTTTGCTTCTGTTGCACTTGACCTAACTTTTTTAGTCATTCTCTCAGTGAGTTGGTGATTTCTTCTTTTTTGTCCTTAAATTAGATTGCTTTTCCTCAGAGGGAAAAACTTGATGTTTCCTTCCCCTAAATTTTAAAACAGCAGCTTCCTTTTGGTGAGTTGTAGCCTCAAGAGCCTTCCTCCTTAATTAAGCCAGCTCTGTCACTCATCACCTAAGGGTGTTCGCTCCATTTCTCCTTTACCGAAATAACACACATCGTTTAGTTACAATTCCAGCATACCTGGGGAAGATAGAACAATAACATTATAAGCTGTTTCATTATCTCTGAGCAAGTACCCTGAAGGGGAGGTAATGATTGTTTGAAGCAACATAAAGCATGACTTCATTCATATTTGATTTTGGAGCACGTTTTTCTTCATATTAGAATGTGCCTGATGTTGGTGGGATGTTAACATACAGCTGTCACTACATTTACAGAGTAGGCTTTGTTCGAGTCACATAGATAATAGAGCACAGTTGGACAAAGTAAACTGTTTCCCGTGATGTAAAACCCCCCAGGAGTTGAGTTAGTGCAGTCCTGAGGCTTGTTGGCTGTTAGAGTGCGGGGCCCCAGAAGGGTGCCTCCCGCTCCTCCTGGAGAGTGTTCCCTCCGTCTCCCAGCTTGTTCCCGCTGTGGACTCTGCTTTCTGATGTCTGCCTTTGCCTTGCTGCACAACTGAGCAGAGTTTGCTGTCTGGGAAGCTCTGCTCTCTTCTTTTGCCTGAATATTTAAGGTCTGGTAAGCAGGGCTGCGGTTTTGTCAGCAGGTGCAGTCCCACCTGAAAATTCCTGGGACCCATGTTTCAAAGGACTAGATGTAAACTCCAGGTCATTTCAGGTAATGGCACAGGGGTGGCCTGCAAGTTGGGCCATTCAAGTAAGAAAATTAGTAGGGCCAGTGGGGTAGTATTTGTCTGCATTTGAAGGGTAACTCTGTGGAAGAGGAATTAATTGGGCTTCTCAATTTCACGAGGCCAAAACAGGTTTCATTGGTAGACCTACCTGGGCAGCCTCTCTTGGGTCTCAGAACACACTGCCTGCAGTTAGACCTGCCCAGCTACTGCAAGAAGCTAGTTGACTCTTAACTCTCCTTCAACTATGGGAGTGCTTGGGTTAGCAGTCTCTTTTGTGAGTTCTCTGTGTTTAAAATGCTAAAGATCAAGCCGGCTTGAGCAAGGCATATCTGTAATAGAACCCAGCATGAGGGCCATGTCGCTGCTCCTCAGCCAGGCTGAGACTTTGTGGAGGATAAATGGTCTCATTTCTTAAGCTGAAGGACACCTGCCCGAGAAGCCCTGTTTCTCTATGGAGGCCTTCCTTTCATTTCGTTCTGGATGAGCTAGATCTGAACATCAGAAACGTGAAGGAGACAGGCATTGAGGCCATATGAGAGAGAGGTGCTGCCAGGCGAGAACAGGCTGAGGGTGGGCAGGTCAGTGTGGGCCAGAGTGGTCAGGGCAGGACTGCGGCAGAAGTGCTTGGCTCTACAGGCAGGGTCGGGTCTAGCTAAGGAGGAGACTCACCCAGGCTGAAATGACAGGGTGCGGGTTATAACCAAAAAAGGGTTTATGACCATTGTTTTGAACTCCACATTGTTTTGAACTCCACATTGTTTTGATAGATTGCTTATCTCCATTTTGTTTAGTTCTTTTTCTGGAGTTTTGGTCTGTTCTTTCATCTGGAGCATGTTTTTTTTGTCTTTTCATGTTGGCAGCCTCCCTGTGTTTGTTTCCATGTGTTACGTAGAGCTGCTAGGACTCCCTGTCTTGGCAGTGTGGCCTAATGGAGTAGGTGTCCTGTAGGGTCCAGTGAGTGGTACAGTCTCCCCTATCACCCAAGCTGGGTACTTGAGGTGTACTTATAGTGTGGGCTGAGTACACCCTCCTCTTGTAGTTGAGCCTTGATAGCTGTTGGCAGGTCAATGGGAGGGATTTACCCAGACTAGTCAGCTGCAAGGATTGGCTATGACCACTGACCACCAATATCTCCCCTCCGTGGAGGATCAGCTATGCAGGGGCAGGGTGGTGGTGCACTGACGTGGTCTGTATCTGTCCACTGGGTGGATTTGCTGGCCCCGAGGTCTCCCAGGTGGTGCAGGCCAAGGTCAGCCCCCCAGTTGTGTTTTACCTGGGGCCACCCTGCCTGAGTTATAGAGCAGTCTGAGGTGGCTGCTACTTTTGCTGGGTTTGGAAATTCCCAGGCAAAGCCAAGCTGTGAATCTGGGCAGGGCAGTTAGTGCTGGGCCTGGGGCACACTGAAGCCAGCTGTTGCTTATTTGAGGGGATTTAGGAAGTTGTGAAGCATGAGCCAAGACCAGCCATTCTTATGGAAAAGCCACTGTTAGCAGCTATAAACTGGGTGGGATGGAGCCTTAGGCAATCTCCAGGGTGGGACAATCAGTGCTAGCCAGGTTGGTGGAGGCTTAGATATGGCACCAGCCCGCAGGCTCTGTGGCTCTGTGGGGAAGGGCTCAGAAAAGGAACAGTGGCCTCTGCTGTCTTTCTGTTTGGGAGAAAGCTGTCCCCCAGCCTTCACCTTGATGCCAGACACGTCAGTTCCTCCCTGTATGCCACTGGTGCCTTTCAGGCTGCTGCTCTGATGTTGGAGCTCAGAGGGAGTGAGTCTGAGTGAGTCTGTGTGTGGGTTCTTTAAAAGGAATGACTTGGGACTCCAGAAATTTCTTTCACCGACTCAGTCCTCACTGGTCTTTGTAGCCATGAGTTGTGGGGACTTTTATCTTCCTGACACTGGAACCCTGGACTGGGGGGCCTGGTGTGGGGCTGGGACTTCTTGCTCCTGAGATATCCCTCCTGAATTTTTATCCACCACACATGGATGTGGGACCAACCCGTTCCCTGTCTCCACCCCTCCTACTGGTCTGGAAGGATCTGGTTTCCTTAATTCTGTAGTTGTTAGACTGTCATTCAACTTACTCTCTGATGGTTCTGAGTGTTGGTTATTCTATAATTTAGTTGTAATTTGGATGTGATTGTGCAAGGGGGTGAGCTGTGTTTAACCTATGCTGCCATCTTGACTGGAAGTCTAGGCCTTGTATTTCTAGTATTTTATTTAGATAAAATTTTGCCAGCTTTTGGGAAAACTTTAAAACACATCACTCAGGCAGTGTATCCCATTTACTAGAGTATGGGTGTGAATCTTGTTTTCTTTCATTGCCTTATGTATATTTTTAAGTTGCAATATCTTTTAACACATTGGAAATAGGAGGTAACTGACATGTGAAGAAATAAATTTGTGCTGAGTTCTTGTTAAGATCTTAATTAGTTTTTCTCAGAATACTTAGCATCAAACTGGAGACGCCTTGGAATTTTTTATAAGCATTTATTTTAAAAGTCGTGATAACTGAGAAATCACATTTCATTCTTTTTTTTTTTTTAATATTTTTATTTCTTTATTTTTAGAGAGAGGAAGGGAGGGAGAGAGGGAGAGAAACATCAATGTGTGGTTGCCCTTCGCTTGTCCCCTACTGGGGACCTGGCCCACAACCCAGGCATGTGCCCTGACTGGGAATCTAACCAGTGACCCTTTGGTTTGCAGGCTGGCACTCAGTCCACTGAGCCATACCAGCCAGGGCAGAAATCTCCCTCCCTCCCTCCCTCCCTCCCTCCCTCCCTCCCTCCCTCCCTCCCTCCCTCCCTCTTTCTTTCTTTTCTTTTAAATTTTACTTATTTATCTTTAGAGGGGAAGGGAAGGAGAGAGGGAGAGAAGTATCAGTGTATGGTTGCTTCTCGTGTGTCCCATGTTGGGAACTGGCCTGCAACCCAGGCATGTGCCCCGACTGGGAATTGAACCTCCATCCTTTGGTTCGCAGGTCCATGCTCAATCCACTGAGCTACACCAGCCAGGGCTCTTTCTTTCTTTCTTTCTTTCTTTTTTTTTAATTTAAGTTTTGTTTTATTTTTATAAGAGGGGAAGGTAGGGGGAGAGAAACATCAGCGTGTGGTTGCCTCTCCACGCACTCCCTACTGGGGACCTGGCCTAGAACCCAGTTATATGCTCTGACTGGGAATTGAACCCAGTCAGCGACCCTTTGGTTTGCAGACTGACAGTCAGTGTACTGAGCCACACCAGCCAGGGCTGAAGTCACGTTTCTTAATCTCTCCTCCAGAAGTATCAAATTATGCCTTGGAATGAAGCAAACAAAATCAATCTCTTTTTTAAGAGAAAGAGTGTCAAGCCATCTACTTGCTCCACATTTTTCCCTCCTTGTCTCACCAAGTCACTACTGAACAAGACATCCCAAGTGGCAGTGAGCCACTGGGGTCTGGGGTGGGGGGTTTGAGATGGCACTTCTTGGCCTGGCAGGACACCCTGGTAAACCCAGACTTGACTTAGGCAGCCCTCTGTGTCCCTGTCTCAGCCCATAGTCCCCTCTGCTCTTTTCCGAAAGGTTCTAGTGTTGATGGAGGCAACAGCAGTTTGGGGCATGGTTGTTTCTGTATCTCAAATCAGCAACAAAAATCAAAATTAAAAAATGACCTCCAATCCAGTCGAGGCTCATTCTGCAGGTGTTAGACCTCCTCCAGGAAGGACATTTTTTTGTCCCACTGTCTCGGTGTAGTCTCAGGTCTGCATGTGGACTCTGACTCAGGCTCCTGATACTCTGATGAGGACTCTGGCCTGACGACTCCCTTCTCCCTCTGTAGAAGCCCAGCCTCTTCCCGGAGCACATGGAATCCCCCTGGCTTGCTCACCAGCAGACTCATACTGCCTTACTCTACCCCACCCTTCCCTTTCTTCTCATGGTTTTTAAAAATGCTAATGCTGCTGCTGCTGCTGCTTCTCCTCCTCTCAGCTAGCTAAAGGGCAAAAGCATCAAAGATCCATTAAAACTGGTGTTGGGGAGTGTGTGTGTGTAAACACACATGAAGTTGGTACAGTCACTTCAGAAGGCAGTACAGTAATAGTTGTTAAACTGTGAAATGTGCAGATCCTTTGATCTGAATGCTCGCTTTTAGTAATATGCTCTCCAAAGGTCTTCCCAAAAGTTTGCAAAGGTAAACATCAAAGTGCACTGTAGGGCAGGCACTGTTTTCACCTGGTGAAAACAAGCTGGGAGCTAATTGAAGACTGTAGAACATTCGTGGTGGAGTAGCACACAGGTGTTACGTGAAACGTGTGTTCTGATGTGGGGCAGCGTTCAGGAGTTGCATACATGTGTTTGAGCCCCTCTTTTGTTAAGTGAAGAACACTATTCTGAAAACAGTAGTGTGATGGCGTTGTGCCTTTTTTCCCTGCATTTTCGTAGTTTATCACCTAATTGGATCATCCTCTAATTGTTCAGTCAGGAAGGGCTCATGGAGCTTGTGAAAAATACTTGGTTTCATACATGAACAATAGCAGTTAGCTGTGCCTAGAATTCTTGGTCACTCTTTCTTTTTCTCTTCTTTTGTTAATTTTTAATATTTATTTATTTGAGAGGAGAAGCATTGATTTGTTGTTCAATTTATGTATACATTCATTGGTTGGTTTATTATGTGCCCTGACCGCAGATCGAGCCCACAGCCTCGCGTATTGGGACAAGGCTCTCACCAGCTGAGCTGCCCAGCCAGGGCTGCCTCTTTTGCTAAGGCCATTGTAGTCACTGCTTCCTCACCTTTGGTGGTGCGCCTCTTTGCCGGATGGTCTACTTCCCGCAGTTTTTGCCTTCCTTTCAATCAAGCACCCATTAGTTCCACTCTTCTGCTTCACTCATTTCTATGTATCTTCCATGAGTAGCCCCTGCTTGTTTCTCCGCATGTGGGTTTCTGAGGATAATCTCAGATTTTCTTGCAGAGGATTCTGGCTTTTTCCCTCATGGCCCCCCGCTGTGATGAGACTGCATTTCGATGGGCTTCTGGTGCTTCGACTGAGCACACACATTCTGTGTCTCCTCCAGGTAACCAACATTAAGAAGACTCTCAAAGCCACGGCGTCCTCCTCAGCTCAGGAGATGGAGCAACAGCTGGCTGAGCGGGAGTGTCCCCCTCATGCTGAGCAGAGGCAGCCCACCAAGAAGATGTCCAAAGTGAAAGGTCTGGTCTCCAGCCGCCACTAGGGCCGGTTGGGGCAGCTGGCACTCACCAGGCCTGGGGCAGCTGGGGAGGGGACACCAACGGCCTATTTCCTCCTCTCCCTACCTTCAGTGAGTTCCAGACCTGCCCGCCCCTCACCAGCGCCCCCCTGCCTGTTGGTACTGTTTCAGAGGAACCGTTACATCCTTGCCCTGCCCACTCCCACCCACCCCAGTTGTTCCCTTCAGACTCAGGGGCTCCACTGATGCCACCCCAGCAGGGTCAGATACTGCCCAGCTGCCCTCCTGGAGGCTCTTGTCTCTGTTCAAGGGCTTGTCTCCCTCCCAGGTTTTTTTTTTCCCTCCATGTCATGTTGTCAGGCTGGTCATAGCCAGAGGCAGCTTTAACTGGCCCACGGGGATGACAGCGAAGGAGGCTCCTCTCTGAGTGGGGATGGGCCCCCTGCAGCCCCAGGGTCACAGTGCCCGCACGGTGCAGGCCCTCTCTAGCCAGGCAGCCCAGCGCTTTGCTTCCCCCTCCGGCCGTGTCCCTCACTGGCAGTTCTGGTTGGATCAGGCTGTGGAGGGATGTGATGCTGGGCCGTGTTTACTAAACCTGCGGGTTTCCAGCCTCTTAAGCCCAGCTCCGGTCTCTCGCTGGTTGGGCACGCTGGGTTGACTGACGCCCAGTGTCTGAGCACCAGTGGTGGGCTCTGTGGGCCTGCTCAGTGGCAGGAGCTTCGTCCAGCTTGGTGTTCTCCGCTGCCTCTGCCCACTCAGACTGGCTTCGGTGAGAAGGCCCCGGCTGCCCCTGGGGCTCTCTGCCAGCACTTGCTCCTCCAAGACCTTTAATTACTCCTGGCTGCGTCCGTGCTGGGGATGGTGGTGCCGAGGCCCCTCTCTCTGGGGAAGGACCTGTTGCTGCTTCCGTCCCTTTTGTCCCACTCCTCCTTGGCCGATGACCCAGAGCCCTCTGATGATGGCATTCTCCTGGCAAGAGGAAAGGACTTGACTAGCCTTTCTGAACTTGAACAGTTTCAGGTTATATTTTGATTTTTTTTTTTGTACAGGTTCTGATTCTAATACATTTCAACATGCCTTTTTCCCCCTTGTGTCAATATTTGTGGTAGACTAATCGCCGGAGACTTTTCACCTGGTTGGCGGGGGCGTGTGTGTATGTGTGTGAGTTTCTTTTTAAGGGGAAGTGGAGGTCTGGACTAATACTGAAGTTCACGGAGGGAACAGCACTTTCTAGAACAAAAAATAAAAGTGTAGACGTACTGTGACTGGCGTGCAGGGTTGCGCGGCTGGTGCATCTGCAGGGCCTCGCGGGCAGGCGGCTTCAGGGAACTGCCCGCGGCCCGGGACTGGGGAAGGTGCGGTTCCTTCTCAGACTCGTCTAGCAGCTGCCTGCCGCTGACCTGAGGTGGGCGAGTTGTTCTTGTTTCCCCTTTAGCTGGTCCCTGCGCCCACATAACACGTCCACTGGCAGAGTTTGACTCCCAAAGTGGGTCTCACGAAACCCCTGGACAGATGCCCCGCGGGAGGGGTTCTGCCGTTAGGTAAGTCTGGCCCACCCTGCAGCCTGCATCCTCACTGGAAGGTCATCCCGAGGGTCTCGGGGAAGGCTGGGGTGAGGGAGCCTCTTCCCACACCGACATCGGCACCGAATCCCTTTGCCGATATCTAGCGGAACACGTTTTGGGGAAATTTTTGGAAATGTTGCATTTCTCAGAAATATCTCCCAGTCTATAGGTTTTTCTTTAGTTACAGTCATGTGTTGCTTAATGATGGACCGTGGTCAGGCGATCTCGTCCCGGCGTGAACATCGTAGGGCGCACTCACACCACCGGGGGGCCTGGCCCGCTGCTCACCGAGGCAGGGTGGGGCCGCCCGTTGCTCCCCGGTTCCAAGACCGTACAGCACACTGCTCAGTGCTGCAGCCGTGGAGAAGGTCCAGGGAAACTCAGGGGAAAAGGAGACGGTGGGGCGCCTGTGTAGGGCGTTTGCCCCAGTGGAGCCTGCGGCCGGAAGTCGCCCACAGTGAGTCAGTGAGTGAGTGAGGGCGGCGGCCTGGCCCATCCTCGCCCACAACTGTAGGCTGTGCTCACACTGTACACCAGGCCCCACCACACTTCCAGAAACCTGTTGTCTGTCTGTAACTATAAATTAACCTTAGCTTACTGTAACCTTTTTTTTTTTTTAAGATTTAAAAAAAAAATTTATCTTTAGAGGGGAAGGGAAGGAGAGAGGGAGAGGAACATCAATGTATGGTTGCCTTTTGTGCATCCCCTGCTGGGAATTGGCCTGCAGGGAACCGGCCTGCAATCCAGGCATGTGCCCTGACTGGGAATCGAACCACGATTGTCTGGTTCGCAGGCCTGCGCTCAATCCACTGAGCCACACCAGCCAGGGCTACTGTAACCTTTTTATTTGAGGAACTTGTAAATTTTTAAAACCTTTTTTGGCTCTTTTGTAATAATACTTAGCTTAAAGCACACCAGTATAATATTTTCTTTACAGTATAAGATCCTTATGGGATCCTTTTTTACAGTATGGGATTATTTTTTGTTGTTTTTTAAATGTCTTATTTTTCTTTGGCTTTTTATACTTTTTTCTCAAAGACTAAGACAGGAACACACAAGTTAGCCCCGGCCTACACAGGGTCCGGACCAACATCACTGCCTCCCACGCCCGTGCCTCGTGTCCCCAGAAGGTCTTCAGGGGCAGTGACGGATGTGGAGCTGTCCTCTCTGTGCCAACAGTGACTTCCTCTGGGACATCTGAAGGACCTGCCTGAGGCTCTTCTAGGGGTGGAGTCGCTTGTTTCAGAAAGTGCTAAGAGGCTGTGACAGCGACATGGCCCCTGGGCAACAGGGGCTTTCCCACTCCTTTAGAGTCCTCCGAGACCACCGGCCTGAGCCACCCGCCCACAGTTGACTGAGACGATGTCGCGCGCACGCCTCCTCTCCGCCGGCCCTTCCCCTGGGCTTTCCCACCAGCGAGCAGACTGGACGCGTGTGGCTCGACTGGTGGGAAACGGGTTGTCATTTGTGGTTTGTCCCACGGCCCTAAGGAGCTTTAAGGTTGGTCTTCTCCACAGTTTGACTGCTTCCTCGAAAGTAGAGTGGCAGTCATGTTTGTAAAGTGCTTTGCAAGGTGGCCTCATGGACAGCAAGTCATTGAATCCCTTCCACCCAGCCTGTCTGCTGAGGATGGTGAGGGTACGTGTACCTACAGACATCCTCACTTGTGAGGAAGGGGTGACCCAGGTTCCAAATGTCCCACGGCAAGTGGCAGGGTGACATCTCCTGTGTCTGCTGACTGGCACGTCCTGCCACTTTCTCTGTGTTACCTTCTGAGGGGAGCCTCCCTCCCCACACCGACCTTTGGTGCCCTGCCTGTGCCCCTGAGGGCTCATCTCACTTTTAACCGACACTCAACGCACCGCAGTCTCCTTCCCAAGCCCGCACAGCCGCTGTAGGAAGTCGGGTGTACAGGGCAGGGCTTCGGGAGTTGTGAGGACCGCTGGGCTGTCCTTCGCTCTGTTGGGATCCTGGTAGGAGGCCTGGCTCTGAGCTCTGCCATATCCCACCTGGCGTGCTGTGACTCGGGGCTCATGTCTGAAACGCGCCCGGGTGTCTCCTGTAAACGCAGCGTTCAGAAGAGGAGCCCGCGTCAGTGGGGATCTGGTGGAACTGAGCAGTGTTAAATACGCCTTCGGCTTCCAAGTGCGGGAAGTAGCTGCTCAGGGTGTCGCCGGGCCCTCTGCTGCTGCGGGGCGAACTTTGGAGTGGGCGAAGGTCGCCCTTAAGGTGGCCTGCCTACTTTGCAGGGTGTCTAGGAGTTACGATCTGCCTATTTAAAAACACGTATAGTATTAAATATAACTAGTTTGAGAGTAGTGCTGTGGGCCGGCTCTAGCCACCTTAAACTCCTCTAAGCTGTCTGCTTCCGGAAGTCCTCTTCAGTCTTCACGGTTTGTCCAGGTGAGAGAGGCATTAGGGTTCCACTTGGATAACGTTAGGGGGTGGTCAGAGCCCTCGGCGCAGGCTGTCCGTGTGCTCCAAAGCTGAGATGACCACCACGGATGGTAGGGTTCTTCCTGGAAATGCTTTGAGTCGGGAAATGGGCTGAGGAGCGAAGAGGCGAAGGCGACAAGCAGCGTGCGATAATTTTATGTCTGCGGTGTTCTTCATCTCCGATGTGCTGGTCGCCTGCACTCCGCAGGCAGTCAGACCGCACTCCAACTCTTGTACTAAGTCATTATTCTAACAGCTTGAAACTTCAGGTATTTTTTAACACAACACTTAGTTGGTTTTTGTGGGCCCGGAGGAGCGTCACAGTCCTCAGGGACGTGGGTCTCCATTCCTCTGCTCCGTCCGCTGTTGTGCTGTGTCCTTCTGGGGAATCTGTACTGCTGCGCGCATCTGACCGCTTCAGTAAATCTTTTCTTTCTTTAGAGAGAGGGGAAGGGAGGGGGAGGGAGAGAGAAACATCAAGTGGCCGCCTCTTACACACACCCTGACCGAGAACTGAACTGGCCACCTCTGCGTTACATGGGAACACTCCAACCAGCGGAGCCACGCTGGCCAGGGCCAGCCCTTTCCTCGTAGTTATGCTTGAGATTTGCAGATTGAAGTCCACTTTTTATTTATTATGTACACATTTCACTCTACATCTCCTTTACATTATCTTGAAGGCATTAAATCGACCTTTTATTTTATTTTTTAAGATTTTATATATTCATTTTCAGAGAGAGGGGAAGAGGGAAAAAACATCAATGTGTGGTTGCCTCTCGTGCGCTTCATACTGGTGGCCTGGCCCCGCAACCCAGGCGCGTGCCCTGACTGGGACTTGAACTGGTTTGCAGCCTGCGCTCAATCCACTGAGCCACACCAGCCAGGGCAAATTGACCTTTTAAACTTATGTCTGCCGGCTCGGTCATGTCTGACTTGGCTCAGCTCAGAGCTGCCAGGCCATTCTGTCAGGTGTCCCTTAGTCAGCTCACACTCATTTCCTACAGCTGTCACAAAGTCACCGTTCTCTTACCCACCCCTCCCGTCACTCGCAGGGGCTGTTTTCCTACTTCATAGTGTCTTCCACCCACAGAACCACCCACATCCACCCTCACCTCCTTCGTTCTTACCATGGGAGAAGGCGTCCCTCCTTCCTGTGCGTGTGGTCGCCCACCTGTGCGGCATCAGCCCACCTCACCTTCTCTCCCCAGGGGTTTCACTGGAGCATCTTTGCCCTCCAGTGGCTGTGTGTGAGGAAGAGTTTTATACGCCACGGAGACCCTCTCTGATCCGCATGTCCCTTTTCTGCCACCTTTTTTCTTCCACAGACAAGCTTCTTGAGAGCTGCCCGCCCTTTCTGTCTCTCCTGCCTCCCTCATTCACACCCAAATTCTTGGTCTCACGGCTTCTACTGCCAACCACTAGCTCACAGTTTTCTTGTCAAGGAGACGGTTGAGCGAACCTTTCCTGTCCTTACCCGGCTTGATCTTGATGTTGCACTTGGCACTGTTGAACACACTTCAAGTGCTCATCTTGGTTTTCAGAGTCCCAGTCTCCAGCTTTTCTGTGATTCTTTACCTCTGCTTGAGTTTCTTCAGGGGCATCTCTTCCTTCTGCATCCAGTTAGAGGTGCTGGCTGGGGTTCCACCGTGACCTAAGTTTACTTCTTTACTTCTCCATAGGTTACACGATTCATTCCCGTGGTTCCGCTTCCATTTCTAATGCCCAAATCTCTATCTCTGGCACATTCTGCCCAGATGTACAGTCAGCGGCCAATGGGCATCTCTGTGCCATGTCCCAGATCTACTCACAGGGTCATCAGTAAGTGGCGCCCGCCATCCACTGAGTATTATTTTGTAGGGCTGCCACCACAAAACACCACAGCATAGGGGCTCACACAGAAATGTGTTTCCTCGCAGGTGTGGAGGCTGGACGTCTAGGATCAAGGTGCTGGCAAATTGGGTGTCTGTCAAGGCCTCTCCTAGGCTTCCAGACGGCCACCCTCTCGCTTCATCCTCACATCTCACGAGGCCTTTCCTTTGGGGGGGGCCTCCTGGGGTCTCTTTCAAGGACAGCAGGCACGCT